GTCTGACGTGTATAGGTGCTTTTAGGCACTTAGGCCCAGATCCTTAAAGGTATATAAGCACCTAACTCCTACTAGGTCTAATCACTTTGGTAGGCATTAGATGCCCGGGTCCCATGGACTTTCAGCAAAGCGTAGAACATCTCTATGTTACCTCCGTGCTGAATAGGGGCCATCTCTGAGAAGTAAGCCCCATCCATGCACTTGGACTTGACTCATACCTAATAATTTGGCAACATAAACAACTTAGAAGGGTCCTGGGCACACACCCCAAAGCTGCTCTCAGATCCTCTGTCTTGGGCATATAACCAAAGTGGCTATAATCTAATCAGTTAACACAACTGCATTGTATTTTTGTCCTTGTTAGGGAGCTTCCACTGACTTGATTAACCTTTTCTTCTTGTCCTTGCAGTCCAAACTGTGAAACCAACGGACTGGTATAATGTAACACAACTGAGATACATGAAAAATAAACAGTTTTACTCTATTAATGCCACTGTATTTGCCCAGAACATTTGTCTTCTAATAATGTTTCACAAAAGCACTTAAACGATTTTTCATACAGTACCCAGAGATACACCCCAAAATCTTGCTCGTTTAGCTCCTTGCCTTTATAAGCAGAAAACATTCTTGTGGGAAGAGCACTATATTTCAAGACATCAATACCGGTATCTTTTGTTATTGATTTCATCCTCAGCCTAATTCTATTAATCTTTGTTATTCCAATAGGTAACAGATTTACAAAAAGCTTAACACAGTTCTGTCTTCTGTTCTTATGTCTAACAAGAAACAATATGTTAAAATATTTCTTCTTCCTTAGTAAGACAATTTCTTTAATTGTATCTTGTATCTGTCATAAATATTTAGAAATATCTCTAAACATTTTTGCCCCATTTGATCATGATTAATTCTAAAATTCTTGCAAACCAACATAGAGTTAAAAGACATGCCTGTTTTCTGCAAAGAATCTTCACTGGACATGAGTGATTGTATCTGTGTGCTAAATTGTAGAGAATTAAGCCAGTACTCAGTACTCATCATATTTTGGTTTTAATGGCTTAATTAATAATGAAGACCTAAAAACCATGGCAGATTCTTTAGATATGTTAACATAGAGATATACAGAGGCTAATGCTGGTGCATATGGCTTAATTGTTGAAAACGTCTTTCTCATTTTAATTTTACCTGCTAGAATGTCAATAATCATTGATTTAATTTTGTTAGAAGAATTCTTATCTCTTGCCCTTGTCCAAGAGACAAAATCTGTATGTAGTCTGTCTTGTATTTCAATTGTTGACTCCTCCTAACCTTCAAAGAGCACCTTAATTAATAGCCTCTGTTTGAAGTGGACATAATTTACTTGAAAAATTTCAAAAAGCTGTTGGTAATGCCTTTTATGTAAGACTCTTAAGAGAAAATACAGTGTGGTAACAGGAGAAGTCTTGTTGTAGATTAAAAATTGGTTATGCAGAAAGGAATGAGTTGTATTGAATAGCTGCTCCCCGGAGTGGAAAGGGCACACCAGGAGTCAGCCTTATTTAATAAATTAGGGCTTCGGCAGAAAAAAAATGGGCAATAATATGTGCTGATATCAGTAAGTTTTCTCAGTTGGTACCAAAAATGAAAAGAAAGGTTTTGATATGAGCTAGATAGATCTAAACTAGAAATGGAGGTAAAACTGGAATCTCAAATCTGACTTTGATTTAATAAAAGGCTGAAAAGATATAGATCTTAATATTTAGGTTTTTTTTTCTCCTGGCTCAAATCTAAAATTAAAAAGGGCCTAATTCTTGATGTGGTTCAGATAGAGACAAATTCTTGTGGGAATGATATGCTTGTGCAATTTTGGTTAATTATAAATCATTGGTTATTCCTTACATAATGCTCTTAATGCAGCAGTTTCAAAGTTCTTCATAATAGTGTGTAAGCATCATTGTTTCCCCTTGTTAATAGATGGTAAAACTGAGACACTAAGAGGTTAAGGCTCAGTGTTTTATATCTGACCTGTGATTGTGGGTGTGCAAAATGCCTAGGATTTGCTTTTCATAGCAACTGACCACCACAATGTCAAATGAAATGTGTGGGAGCTGGTGTCTGCATGAACACTGCAGGAAAACTTCCTGCAGTGTGAGATGCACACCTTCATTGATGGTGCCTTGCTTCCTAGAGAAAGGGTTCTCTCTGCTCTTTGTACGAGGTTTTAAAACCGTCTTCCCATCTAAAGCTCTTTTTGCATTGGAAGCTTATCCTTATAGATCACTCCAGAAAACCCTACTGCTTACATCTCCTATGAGTGATTAAAAACTTTCTGTGTTTTTCTAAGCTTCCATTCTGCTTGCTTAAAAAGATTGTTGTCTGTAAATCCAACAATACCGTTGATCCACATCCCCACTGCCCTTTCTCATTTATAGTTTAGTAGAGATAATTTCACATAATTCACACATTTTTTTTTTATCAGTAGAGCACAAAACAGGTGGCAGTAGCATAACTGGGGAGGGGAGGGAGGGAGATAACCAGGTCAGCAGCTCCGGGCCACCTTTATTGGGGGACACAAAAATAACTGGCACCTGATAGTGCTGTTGCAATTGATATGGCAGCAGCCCTTGCTGCCCTGAGCATCTCCCTGCTATGCCTCTGACAGATGGCACTAATGCTATTTCAGCCTCGTGGAAAATATTTCTAAATTCATCCACTATTCCAGTTACTGATAGAGGTAGAGTGAAGCTACAAAACAAAGATCTGGAGTTTGAAACCCAACAAGTTAATCACAGCGACAGAGATTTTATCAAAATTCTGTACCAGATCTGAAGTTAGATTCAGACCCCCATAAAGTGTGGAGGCAATCAGAGCTCTGTTTTTGTGCCTTTTCTATTATCTGCTGTTTCTTCTGAAAACATAAGCTAGCGGTTGCAAGTCTAAATTAAAATGAAACCGATACAAATAACTTTCACACTTCTCTTGTGTGGAAGCTGTGAACAGGACATGCATATCTCTTTTCTTCACTGCTACAGCTTTATTTTCAAATAGGACTTTGTGTATACATGTCTAGTTGAAAATGAGTCATTTAAAAACAAACAAGCCATTAAGCCAAAGAGTACATCAGCCTTTACACTACATGAATTGACTTCTCACCTAATCCGTTCTGAATCTCCCCATTGTGTTCCACCATCCGTTTGTACATGATGCCTACAATTAAAAAAATCAGTGGTATTTCTTGTCTTTTATATCTCATCTTTGTTTGATACATAGATAAAGTATCAGAACCATATACTTAACTTGAGCACTGAGTTGATCTTGAACTGAGATGAAGAGATAAAGTTCCATTGAAGCCAATGGACTTAGACCATAAAGGAATGAATCCTGCAAGTTCTATGAGGATCTCAGAGAATCTGCCAGAAGCAGTAAAGGGAACAGTTGCCTCTGCATTGTTATCTGTCACCAATCTGTCTCTTTGCCTCCTTGAGTTTATGGCAGAACTGTCTTGCCTACAGAAGTATTGCTAGCTATTCCCAATGTTCCCTTGATCTGATTTTCACAGCATATGTAATAACATTTGAAAAAACAACGTCAGCACTTCCAGTGTTCCCTTACCACCTTGTTTTTCATGCCTCCCCTTCTGAGACTTGTAGATTCAGATTCTCTTCTGTTCAAGAACATCTGGTCCTTGCAATGTTTGGGTGCAGTTCTATGAGGTACTTAACACTTTCATATCCGATCAAAGTTAATGAGATTTGAATAGGTTTGGGACTTGGAAAGGTTGGCCCCTTGAACACTGGCCCTGGGGGAGGCTTGCTGTCAATCTTAGAAAGGAAGAATTAAAAGTAAGGGAAAAAGTGTTATGCAGGGCTGCCTGAAGAAAAACTACTCAATGAATCACACTGAAAACTATTGTTCAATTTAAATTATCTAAAGAAATAATCCCCAAACACTAATGTAACAGGCCTTAGTGCCTTCAGACTTATGAATGATGCTGATTCAAATGACAGGCCTCTTTGTTGCCAAAGTAAAATGAGCTGGTGATCCCAGTTCTGTTACTGGTTCCCACAAATGCCCATCACAAAACATTCATCCCAGCTCGCACTAATTAGACCAGCATTGGCAATTTCAACTTGGAGGTGAAGAAGTGAAATAGCCACTAAAATAACCCTCACTCAGGGAGGAGCTCCCTTCAGGTAACCGTTGAGAGTAGGATGGACTTGAGGATGTTTAACTTGCTGCTCCCCATGTCATGGATAATTTGCAGTCCACCACCTTTCACGATCAATACAACTTCTGCATACAAAAAACAAGAGCAGTGGTATGTGGAATTACAGAAGTAATCTGTGGCACAAACCCCTTACTAGGTATAAAGACTTTCATTGTACTTTGAAAAAATACCTGTGCTTAAACTTCAATAAATTATCCAAAGTGGTTTCATTTAAACTTCCATTTTGACAGTTATTCAGATGGTCAATGTTTCATAATTAATAGCTGTAAAACTGCAACATTGGCCTTCTGAATAACTAGGAAAGTGGAAATTTGAAAGAGAACACTTTGGGTTACTTATTGAAGTCCCAGGGCTATTTTAGCTATTGTCTGCTAAAATACAAAAAAGCTTTACACCCAGGGGGAATTGTGCTTGTGGATTTACCTGCGTGCATTTAAATTAAACGGGGTCTTTCATTTTTGTTTTATTTACTGTAAAAACGGTGATGTGTTTATTGCTGTTTGTTCATAAAACTTAAAAGAAAATTAAAGGCTGTTCTGAAATACTCCAGTCAGTCATTTCTTTGCCTCTCAAATCCGTTTTTTTACTGGCAAATATATTTCCAGGCTTATTTATAGGGCATTAGTGACATTCAGTGTTCAGTTAAAGTACTGTAAGTTAATCACTTTTATCAGTTGTTTGCAGTTCTCGACCTTTATGGCTTGTTTCTTCTAGCTGTAATGTTACAAAATTGTATTTTACAAAGTAACAACATCCAGAACTTCTAATTGGAGTCTTTTCTTTCTTTTTCTTCCAGGCTGTTGATATTCTCTTGCAGCATGGAGCTTATGTCAATGTTCAAGATGCAGTTTTCTTCACCCCATTACACATTGCAGCATACTATGGACATGAACAGGTATCTAAATGGGCAGAATTTGAAAAAGCCGAGCCAGTGCAGCCACACAATGAGCCATATGTAGGTTTATTGTCACTTGTCTGCCATATTCAGAAGGATTTCACTATAAAATAGCATTCAACGGGCTTCACATACTTAAGTTATGCCTTTGAATAATCTCTGACATTTTCAGCAGTTTGAAAGCCCATAAGAATTTTACTATTCATGTTTTAAGTACTGACTGTGAGAACCTCCAGCCAAAGTTAATACCCCACAAAAGACCTCTTGAAATTAATTGTTATTCATCACAGAGTGTTTTACTCAAAACTATAAAAGGTTTTTAACCTGGGGATAGATTTCATATGGCACATACTACCCATCCTGTCCCATGGATCTCCCACTTAACCTTTAGGTATACCAGCTTAAATATTTCTAAGGAAAGGAGTATACATTTTCTATGGTAACAAAATAACTGATTCATTTTGGAACTGATGAATGAAATTAGTAGGAAAACTCCTATTAGCTTCAGTGAAGCCATGGTTTTACCCAGTGTGTGATAGATGCAACAGTCCTGCCTGCCTGATTCACAAAGGTAATGAAGTTAAGAAAAAATCACTATGTGAGTTAAGATCAAACCCTTGTAATGTCATTTCCAGTTGTTTATGTAGTGTGGGTGTGTAGCTTGGAGGGAAATACACACATTTGCACTGTGGCAAACCCTAAAGCTCAGAAGTAGCCTTGTATCTCTTTTGCCTTGTGTGAGTTCATCCCCATGCCTTTCTTTTTTCTGGAAAGAAGCATATGCTGGGACATTTTTGGTTTCAAAGCATGACCTGCAGGTAGAGTATATTTCTCATTTTATTGATGTGCTATTTAGAGTGCACTGGAGAGTCATTCCCAGAAAAAGCCTTTGAAAGGACAGAGTCCAAAAGCAGACGATTGAAAACGCTTTACTTCTATGGTTCAGTAGCAGTAAGGATGTGCACAGTGCATTCATTCCTGAGATCTTTCTTTTTCATATGTTCACCTCATCTTGCAGTAATGTTAAGACACTCTTTACATATTGGGCTGAGAGATTAGTTTGCTTATTTGCTATGAACCACTTTTGAACAAATAGTCACAGTCTTCTGAAATTATGCTAAAATGCATATGGTGCTTTTGTGATAAGGGACTCTACCTTCAGAAAGGAAGCTAAGTCTGTGACATATCTAATTTATGGACTTTAAGAACATTTACTTTATTATGCTGACTAGGTCAGTTATACAAATATGTGTGTCTTGTTCCCTATCCCTTGCTAGCCATGTCATTTTATAAAATGAACTGACACCTGGTACTGCGCAATGTAACAATTTATAGACATGCTACTTACAAATGGACTTTATAATGTTTCTCATGACTATATACTATTTAAGTATACATAGTCTGGTTTTAAATTAAAAAACACCGCTTCCCTGCCAAGGTGTTAAGAAATGCAATAGACAGTATTTTTCTGGGTTTCATTTAACACTTTTAAAATTTGATTTTCTAATTCACATATATGAAATATTTAGGTAACACGCCTCTTGCTGAAGTTTGGTGCTGATGTGAATGCAACTGGGGAAGTTGGAGACAGGCCACTCCATTTAGCTTCTGCCAAAGGGTTTCTTAATATTACAAATCTCTTGATGGAAGAGGGAAGCAAGGCAGATGGTAAGGAAAGGTTTTTAAATTACAGTGGTACATTTACATTTGATACGTAGTGTCAAGTCCCCAGCTGACTTTGATACAGTTCTGTTCTGATATTTTGCACGTTTTTGTTTTGGCATTGGATAGCTATGACAAAAAATATCTCTGGGCATATTTTTTTGCTCTCTAAATTTGCTTTTTCTATGTTTACATGCTGTTTGTGTTTGTTTTTCATGAAAAAAGCTATAGAGTGAATTTATTGGCAGAAATATTCATAGGAACAGTGAGATGTAAATGAATGATGGAGACTATTGGCAGAAAATAAATTCAAAATTCATAATCACAATAATTGACACTGCCAACCCGTTTCTATGCATTATGCTCATCCACCTAGAAAAGAGAAGCAAACCATGTGGCCTATGTCAACAATCAAAGCAATTCAAATGCTGGATGTTAAATATCTACAATGAACCGCTAATAAAAGAATTAAGCCTGAATTATATGGTACATAATTTCAAGTAATAAATATCACAGAGTTTCTGAAGAGAACTAGAGCTGGAATTTCAATTTAAGAGAGGGTGTGTGTGTGTGTGTGTGCGTGCGTGCGCGCGTGCGTTTGTAATACATGAGTGGAGGAAGGGCATAACATTTATCAGTATTAATTTTTTGCATTTTTTACAAGTTGAGGATGTGTAAATTAGGGATGGGGTCATCATAAGCTACTGCCAATAAAATTGTTATGTGCTACTATACCAACATAAATTACATAAATACTGAAGATTTCACAAATAAAATATTTGATTTAGAGGGGAGTTATCCTTTCATCTTTGAAGACACATAATGTAGTTACCGTGTGCCAAGTTTTATCGTAGTTACTTTAGCAATATAAATGGTACCAATCATTATATTCAGGTAATATCTGCTGTTTAAATGGATTCCCGGTACAGTGCATGCTGAGAACATGATCAGAGGGGAAAGATTGCCTAGGGAGAGTGATGCAGTGTGCCAGCGATTGTAGGCTATGGAACTGCTCCTAGGACGTGACTATTGCGGGCAGACATAAGTTAGAGCATCCTTAAGGGTCAGAACACAGCAGGCCCCAAAGTGGCTTACAGACCTTTTTCGTCATACCATGACCTGAGCTCCTGGGTGAAGCATAATTTAATAGGAACAGAGGAAATCCAGTAAGACTATACAGGACTTGCAGGAAAGGGAGAACTATAAATTAATACATATAGAATATCTCTAAAATGCCATGTGTTCTAGCTTACAACATGCCCTGGAATATAATACGCATGTTGTTTTTCAAAAACAAAATGAAGGGGTTTTTTTCTTCACAGTTATGGTTGCATAGAGGAGGGATAGAGCCTAAACTTCAGCTGACTCACCCTCCCTTTCCTCTTTAACTAAAGCTGAATTCCTAACTGTTCTTTAATACTGGTCTCCATGGGTGGATCTATCATTTTGAAAAGAGATAAAGTGTCTCTGCTAAAAAGCTAAAGGAGCTGTGAAATAGACCAGAAACATCTAGCATGTCATAAAATTGGTCTAAGAAAGGTTAGCTTAATTAGTGGAACATCAAGACCATTAAAAATAGAGATAATTATTAACACCTGTAGAGTAATAAACAATGAGTCATTAAGTCAACTGACTCCCTGAACAGCCGGGATCCTGGTTTTCTCTCTTTAAAAATCACAAAATCTCTGATAAAAACTCCACAAATTATCTGATTAGAAAAACCAAAATCCACAATTAAAATGAAACACCACTATATACATATATAGACTTCAATTGAACATAATGTTTTATTAATATATTTACAATTTGGAAACCTACCAGTGCTAAAATGAAATACATTCTAAGTATCTATAAATCCTGATATTTGATTTTGGGGTTTTTAGCATAGAAAATGAGAGCTTCCCCTACCCCGCTCGCTCACCAGGATGCAGGTTCAGGTTCCTCACTCCCCACCTACAGTCCCTCAGCATTGCTGGTGCCACTCACTCCCCACTCACAGCCCCTCATGCCCACCAGCCCTGCCAGAGGGGGCCCCCAGGCTATGGGTCCAGGGACCTGGATCTACAGCTCCATGCCCCCTCAGCAGTGCCCAAGCCCCAGATGCTGTCTGCAGGAGATGGTGGCTGCTGCACACCACCACCACCACCAGCACCACTCTGCACCACCACCCCTGCTGCTGCTGGGTGGGCACAGGGTGTCTCACCAGGGTAGCACAGGGCTTGCAGTGGCAAGGAGCTTCTTCTTTGCCTGGCCCTGCTCTGCCCTGCCATACTGAGTCCCACGTGGTGAGCCACAGAGGTCCTGGGTGGAGGGCAGCAGGGCAGGGAGCCTGAGCCTGCAGTGGGCAGCCCACCCCTGCCCGGCACACAAATCTGGTGGACACATGTCCCTTGCTCCCCCTGCCCCAGGAGTGCATGTAGCAACATGGAAAACCGCCTCCCTCCCCAGCCCCCCAGATGAGCTGCCCATGGCTCCATCCCGCTCCCTGCCGGGCCCCTGCAGCCATGCATTCTGGCCCTAGGCCCCAATCCCACCCCCAGCCCCACCCAACTCACTCCCTCTGTCCCTCCCTCCTTCCCTTCCTCCCTATGGGGGCCTCAATCCCCCCCACCAGACTTACGTGCGGAAGCTGCTTTCCAGGCTGCCCAGCAGCCACGTATGTGTGTATGTCCCCACATCCACATGGTGCCTCCTGCCTGACCGCCCTTCTTCCACTCCCCCCAGCCCCTTGCAGGCTGGAACTCTGCAGAGAGTTCTTTGCAAATGTGGAAAATCCACGTTTCTCTGTTAAAATGAAAGATCTGTGTTTTTCTCGGTCACATGGGAAAATCCGCATTTTGTCCCATTTTCCTGTGGGGAACAAAAAACCTGGA